GGAGGGGGTCCTAATTGCCGTCGGGCTATTTCTCGCGGTGCTAAATTAAACCTGCAGTCCTTTTGACCACCTGCGCATCTCTGATAGTTACTTCGTATGCATGAATTTAACTGTGCGTACAGGCCAGATGCACCCGCACATCCTAGAAGCTGCACCACTCACTCAATGTGAAAAAGATATAAAGCCTATGGCGGGTGTATCCTTACACGTTCTCCTGGAAGATACATTCTCTCCATTTCACAAATTTGGTGAATGTATTGTTACACGTTCTCCTGGAAGATACATTCTCCATTTTTTAACACATTCGGTGAGTAGTGCGGCGCGCCCCTTCATCTCCTCAGTGGCTGCTAAGAAGATTGTTATGTCTGCTTCCTCCCGTTGCTCAGCGCTGAAGGCAGCCACCGTCCAATCCAAGTGCGGCGCGGCGGGGAATTAGGGGCGGAGAGTAGTGCGACGCGGCGGGGAATTGGGGGCGGAGAGTAGTGCGGCGCGGCGGGGAATTGGGGGGGGGCGGAGGGTAGTGCGGCGCGGCGGAGAATTGGGGGAGGGCGGAGAGTAGTGCGGCGCGGGAATTCTGCATCCTCCTGTTGCTCAGCGCTGAAGGCAGCCACCGTCCAATCCGAGTGCTGCGCGGCGGGGAATTGGGGGCGGAGAGTAGTGCGGCGCGGGAATTCTGCATCCTCCTGTTGCTCAGCGCTGAAGGCAGGAACTGCGACCGACCACCGTCCAATCCATACCTCAACTCTCCGCCCCCAATTCCCCGCCCGCAATTCCCACCCAAACTCCCGCCGAATTCCCGCCAAATTCCCGTCAATCTCCCCTCAAATCCGCACTAAATTCCCTCGAAATTCCCGCCACGTTCCCTCGAAATTCCCGCCACATTCCTGCCACATTCCCGCCTCATTCCCGCCTCATTCCCGCCTCATTCCCGTCAAATTCCCGCCAAAGTCCCGCCAAATAACCCGCCAAATTCCTGCCAAATAACCCGGTTGCCAAATAACCCGCCAAATAACCCGCCAAATTTCTGCCTGAAGTCTCGTTTTGTGTTTGGACATGTTTGCCATGATCGTGCTCTTCATTTCCTTCTCTTGTACTCATTCGTTGGCTTGCGAGAAGATCTCGCCTTATCATCCATCTATCCCGGCGATTCCATCTATCGTGCTCTTCATTTCCTTCTCTTGTAATCACGCTGTCAGCCAGTTCTTTCTTGCGCCGCCCGCCAACCGTTCCCTCTCCCCCCTCTCTCTTCCCCAACCCCTCTTTTTGTTTTTTGTTTTTGATTCTTTTTCTTTGTCTCATCATAGGAACCTCTGTTCCCCAATCCCGATGGTTCTCAAAAGCATCCGGGGCTGCATCTACCCATCACCATCGCCGTGTTGGCCATGCGCACCCTCCTGTGCTTTCTTCTCTTCTCATCATGATCGTCATCATCGCTGTCGCGACCCTCAACTCGCTAACGTCGTCGTCTTTTGCCACGTGGAGGAAGATCGGGATAGCGACTCTAATCGTCGTCGTCTTTTGCCACGTGGAGGAAGATCGGGATAGCGACTCT